ACACACACACACACACACACACACACACACCCACGAACACACCCACACACAACCCACGAACACACACACGAACACACACACACCCACGAACACACACCCACGAACACACACCACGAACACACACACCGAACACACACACATGAACACACACACACACACACACACACACACACACACAACACACACACACACACAAACACACACACACAGACACACACACACAGACACACACACACACACACACACACACACACACACACACACACACACACACACACACACACACACACACACACACACACACACACACACACATACACACACACATACACACAAAAAAAATAGATAGATAAATAAATAAATTGACAAATAAAAAAGTAAAATAAAGATTCAATATAATTAAGGGATAAAGTCATATAATAATTTTATATTTTCTCTGTTTTTATGTGTTACATAAAGATAAAAGATTTATATTTGATGTGACCAAAATTTTATAGATATTTCTGTAATGATAGAAATGTAGTATATTTTATTTTGACAGTATAGTATAGTTACAAAAAATGAAAATATAATGGAAAAAATCTGTATATTTTTTACTTACACATTTTTATTGTTAATTTGATTATTTTGTTAGTATTATTAATGTTATTATTATTATGATTATTATTATCATTATCATTATTATTATTATTATTATTATTATTATTATTATTATTATCATTATCATAAGTATAATTGTTATCAATGCTGTTACATTTTGTTATTATTATTATCATTATTAATGATTTTATTAGTATTATAATAGTGATTTCTGTTGAGGTTATTGTTCTATAAATCAGGAATTAGGTTAAATACAGAAAACATTTAGGTTAACAAAAAGTATAGTAAAATCCAGGTTTTGTGGAGCATTTCGTTGATGTTGTTTTGAATAGCTTGTCCTCGTTTCTTTGTCTAAAAAACGAGGTTATTGATTACATGTATCCATCTATTCTGACAGGCCTTTTGCCTTTCATAAATAAATATAAAATTTGTGCATTCCTGTAGGATCATAAACTACAGACCATTTGTAAACTTTATTTTAATATATTGCATTTGTTATAGTCACTATTTTTTAAGTAAAGAATGAGGTAATATATGATTATTCATTAAAAAAGAAAATGGTATTCAAGTAAGGATACCTTCCTTACTGATCGTTAATGACAATGTGAACTTCAAGGAGCTCCTACTACTAAATAATTCATGCTGGCAATATATGGCTTTTTAACTATTTTTTTTATTATTATTAATTAGTGGTACCATGTTATAACTAGTGTATTTATTTTTGTTTAGTTTGAACATACAACCTGTGTGCACTAGTGTTAGCAGTTCTTAATCTGATCATTCAGTAATGGTGGTCTTGATTAAACCTTGCTTGGTATCCTGTTTACCACACTTTCATAGTTTCCCCTGACCAATCACTGACCAGTGATAATTCTGCATTCCATGAGGTACAAGCATCATGTGGGGGGCTGACAAGAAATGGAAACTTTTGGACTGGAAAGCCTGTTACCCTTTCCCACTTCTCTTTTTTTATTTTTCAGATTCATTGGATTTCTTAAATATAATATTTGTAAGAACTGGCAAAATAGTATCCTTTCATGTCATATGCTGGAGGATTACATCAATATAGAACCAGGCTGTTGTTTTGATTGTGATGTGACATTTAAATTAATTGTTTATTATCAACTTGTTCAACTTAGTTCTTTTCCTTTATATCCTCATTTTTAGTAGAGAAAAGTTATTTGATTTAGGAGATGTCTGCCATTATTAATTTAATTTGTTGTGGAGACAGAGATATATCAAGTATGTGTTTTAGGAGGAGGTGCACTCTGAGTGGGAGGTTAGGAGGAACAGTTGAACAATGTGCTCTCATGTGATACCTGCTTAACCCACTGCCTTCAGATGATGTGTAAATCATGTCATAGCTGACTTAGTCATGGCTCTGGGTGTTGTGCTATTCCCATCATAGCTGACTTGGTTGGGACTATAGGGGACAGGTCATTTATATCATATTACTATGATTCAAGCATTATATCTTTTGGTGTCAGGCTACCACAGGTTTAACCTAGTAACTAGAATTCATTTAATGTATCTCTGATTATGCAAAAACATTGAAGTCATGTGTTGGATACAAGTGATACAAAAAGAAATCATATCACAGTGTTTTTGCATTGCACCAGCTGAGTCTGAAATTGCCAAGAGGCAAGCACCGTCAATGGCACACACTACCCAGAGCAGAGGCCTAGCACAATCCAAACCCTCCTGGAGGCAACAGGTTAATGGTTCTCTTGAGTAAAACTAGTGGATGTCAGATGTATATATCCATTTCTTACAACTCTAACTTGCCCCTTTAGCACACAATATGTCTCATTACAGTCCCACAATATTCTCAATTTATGGTTGTGCACTACAAAGGATTTTCACTTTAAATTACTAGTATATTAGTTGTATTGTACGTTCAGACCTGATTTTGCTGCAAAAATGAGAATGTATACATTACTGTAAGTTGTGTCATATTAACCTGAGACAGTCCAAAATTGTTACATGAAGCCCTGTATGTAAGAAGGGGAAGATATAGCAAATTGTAAAAGTGAAAATCTTCACTTCATTATTTTGTAAATCTTAAGATATTTTTGTTATGATGGTATGTGAAGAAAGGCAAACATCTTGTGGTTATAATGGAGGTGAAGATGTAGGGATTGCTTGTGTTGATGTAGTGGCTGATAATGCTAGCAGTGATTGGGGATGGACAGCTTCACTGAGTGAAAGGATGTTACTTCCTTCACACATGCAAGCTCCATGCAGCTGGGCCTTCCACCCAGAAAGTAACCTCTCACTATGTTTGTTTGTGAAACTCAATTATTTTGCCAGTGTAGAGAGGAGTATAAATCCAGTAAAGGCATGTGGATGATATCTGAAAATAGTGGTGTCCAATGTAAAACTGTTTTCAGCCCCATATCTTCCCTTTTCTCATGCTCAGGCTTTCATGGTTTTGCTGTGTAACAATTATATTTTTTGTGTAGTATGCAAGAATATATGGTAAATTCAAATAAATGTGGTATAAATCTGGTTGTATTTTTAATACAGATAGGCCATCCATCGCACAGGGTTCTTGGTACCTGTAGATGTACCATATTAAACTGGTTTCAAGCAAGAGTAGCATACATAGGGATGAGCTTCATGACATTTTCAGAGTATGAAGGAAGCACTTGATGTAACTTGCCATAAGACATATGAATATGAGTTTGAGGACTCATATTCAGAGTCACGAGACATGACTACCTTTGATCATGATAAGATGAGCGCTTCCGTAAACACTGTGTAATTGCAAAATCCCCATGATGAATGTTCCCAAAAGAAATAACTACTTCACGTACGTTTTCTTTTAATACGTCACACCATAGTTGCAATGTTATTAACGGTTAACAACTCAACATTCAATAAAAATAATCTCAAAGTATATGATACATTTCATGTGACCTAGCATATACCATGAAAAAAATTACAAGCAGAAGTCACTCGATAGGTCCATATATTTATTACAAGCGAAATTAAAGATCATATCGCCATATTGCTCCACCAATATGTATCCCACGTGTCTGGCGTCGTGGCACTTCCACCTGTAGTCTGGATACGTGACGACGTGTGTGGCCAGGCATTCCCTTGTGTAAGCCTGGGCAAGAGGCAGGCCGCTGTCCCACACAAGCACTCCCGTTCCTGCCAAGGCATTTCGGCTCACACGATTAAACAAGTCAAAGTTTTCCACGTTGTACTGGGGGTGAATCTGCGAGTTGTCATGCGCTGTCTGGGGAAAGAGTGATTTTTTAGTGTTTTAAAGCAGGCTGTACTTTCGGGTCCATTATTATTTTGGGGGGATGCACAAGCATTCAATAAAATTTAGGAGCTTTATTTTGCCAGCGCAGTATATAAGCCCATTGAAAACTAATCTTCAGGAATCGTAAACTGATGCGCTCTTTGAACAGGGCAGGGATCATTAATCAAAATTTTGAGGTCTATAATAAGTCAGTGTAATGTGTTGACCACGTATAGTCGAGAGCCAATTCAGTAATACCAGTCTAGGTCTCATCTGTTCCTTAAGTTTAGGGTATATTTCTACTTTCAAAAGACTAATCTTGAACGGCCAGAACACACTGTGACTGATCAGATTACAATTTCCTTCATTCTTTCATGAAATAAATTCGATTACTACATTTCCAGAGCTCTACGACAACCCAACTATATTACACCAGACCATTAAAGTATAAACATTTGATTTGATTGACGAATAAATATTTCGATACATTACGGAGAAGATTCCATAGGATTAAATATGACTCTACGCTTTATCAACATGAAAGAAAGTGAACACGCATAGAATACACAGAACATGAAACAGAAGTGGAATATTTGTATTTGACAGAAGCGTATTCTGGAATTTCGGAAAGGCGTGTCACACGTCTTTTACCAATGGTTTGTAAAAGCCATATATGAAATTTTCAATATAAATCAGAAAGTTAACAAATCACAAATTCTTAATGAGTAAACCATCGTTTTCGGCTGCTCGGGCAAAGCAGCGGCTTCCCACTAGAGGCCGAGGGTCACTCAGCGTTTGATTCCGGAGTAGAATGTACAGTTACTCGGTAAAGGCTGCCAGACATTACTCTCAAATTCTAATGCAGCTATTTACGTGACTGCATACTCATCTATATATGTCCATCAACTAAAAGATCAAAATGTATAAATTATTTTATTGATCTGCTTCTTGAGTAGACAAACCTTTTACAAACCACTGGGTAAAAATAGGAGCCACCAATATAAATCATGCTCTTGTGAACAAAAAGGTTAAAGTAGAAAGTGATCTTCTGAGGAAATTCTGGCAGTATCAAGAATATAACGAAATGAAGAAAGTAGATACACTACTGTAAATCTACTATCTATCAGATCTGGAATCTTGTAGAATAGAACGTTCGAGAACGCAGAAGTGATGCTGAACAATCAAATAAAATTGTATTTCTAATACAGTATGGGCATGCCACCAAAGAACTTTCAGGGGATAGCTCTTCTTTTCCATTTACATCTGCATGGCATCTAAGATCTGAACACTAAACATTGTTTTCACCTACTTTACAAACTGTGTTTAAGTTATTTGCAATTATAAATAAACTAAATATTCCTGAACTTTTTTCACAAATTGTCGTGGTATGGACTGTAAATGCACAGAAACTGCTCACCTGAACATCGTCGAGGAGTTTGAAGATCGTGGGCACAGTGTTCGCCAGACGGGTAAGGTCGTGTAATAGACTGTGAAGATGATCGCTATACACGCCCATCGCAGCATCTGGACCCGATTCTTTGTAAAGAGACTCAGTTTCAAGCATCCAGTGGAGTCCAGAGCCTGTGTAGGAAGTAGCAGTAATATGCCTTTAAACATTCTTTGTAATAAAGATAATACGAGAACAAGACTTTTTGTAACACAGTATTCACACAAGAAAGTTATAAATCTGAGGCGTGGAAATATAGTGGACTGTGTCTGTATTTTTACTTCCTCCAGTTTGTGTTTGGTAGCGTTGGTTACTTAGTTTGTTGATTAATTGGTTAGCAGGATAACTCAAAGAGTAATGAACAGATTTTTTTTTCATTTATTACTTTTTTTATTATTATTACCAGAACTGTGTCTTAACCCAACTTAGATGCCATTAAATTTTGGTGGTCATCAGGATCCAGGAATTGTTTAAAGGATTCATCAGCATTGTGAGATAGGGACACACAGACGTCACCAGTGTACTTGACAAAGAAGTAATTTTGATGTAATTCTGCAAGTGTGAATATTTTCACAGCATCAGTGACCATGTTGCCCTGGCAGAGCTATGTGCTCTCTGAGTGCTTCTAGTTTGGTAGGTTTTGGTATGGCCGCCTTTTCCCCGTAGGAGTGTTGGGAGAGAATACCGAGGGACATGGGGCGGGGAACTCGTGGGAAAATAAGCCAATAAATAGAAGTTTTGCACTGTACGGTTTTCCAAATGTCTAATTATTACGACAGGATCTTAAATTATTAGTTTATGTTGTATATATTGTTCTGGTAAATGTTGGGTAAATAAAAGTTATGTACTTTTGAATGAAACATGATAACTTCACGCTCCTTTATATCTGGTGTCATATTATCCTTTATTTAAAAGGAAAATAATATGGTGGCAGTTGCATTTTATTATTACGTTTTAGGATTTTTATTCACAAAAGTGGTGGGTTAGAATACGTTGGTTATAGTATATGAAACTGTTCCTGTGTGATGCTAAAGATAGCAGCATCCATAGCTGTGTGATCAAAGAGACTGAAAGTAGTACGTAAATGACCCAACAATGGAATTTATACATGAGGGTTAACAGACAAATTAAATGAAAGTCACATATCACTGTTACGACACTCAACCCCAGTCGGTAAATTGAAGAGACTATGAGGAACGGCCACTTCAAGTAGAGCAACTTACCGAGGATGACCAGCGTGGGAGCCGAGTGCCGACCCTCTTCCCAGCCCTTTACGAGAGTTGGCACCCTCCGGAGCAGCGGGTCCCAGAGGAACGTCACGCGGAAAGGAACTGCCAAATGGCGAGCTTTGAAGTCTTCGTAAGTGGTATTGAGTCTGAAGCCTCTCAACAGCAGGTGAGCGGGAAGCCACTCCTACAAGTGAGCAAACAAACAATACTATCATTATGTATGACACACACACACACACACACACACACACACACACACACACACACACACACACACACACACACACACACACACACACACACACACACACACACACACACACACACACACACACACACACACACACACACACACACACACACACACACACACACACACACACACACACACACACACACACAAACCAGACTGGAAACTGTGGCGCGCGCGGGCAATGTATTTTCTATTTTCACCGCGCGGTTAGTAGATTGTTTTAATTCAAAACAAAGATTAGAAGATAATGAATTTGCTCTTTCGTGTCAGCCATTGCCATGCTTTAATTCATTTGCTTTCAGGTCCTGTGAAATCAAGTATCTATTATCAGAATTAGATGAATATGGTGGAGTAGACCCTAATGGCTTGTTTCTTTTGCTTTTAAAAAGGCTAAATGGCCAATTAACTCCTAAATTAGCCGTAATCTTACGCCTTTTAGTTCGCAAAGGCTCATTTTCGGAGTGCTGGCGCTTTGGTAATGTTACCCCTGTTCCCAAGGGCCCACTACAATCTTCACCTACTGAATGTAGGCCTATTTCAATTAGATCAGTTTTATCTAAGGTTTTTTAACGTTTCCTGGCCAAACGTCTATCTATACATTTGAGACCGTTTCTTCCAGAGACTCACTTTGGTTTTAGAAAGGGACTTGGTTGCAATGATGCATTGTTTTTGTTGGTGCCTGAAATGCAGTTTGCTTTAGATAAGGGTCATGAGTCAAGGCTTGTCTTTCTGGATTTTAGTGCAGCTTTTGGCACGGTTGATCACAAGGGTTTAATTTATAACACAGTTTGTTGGTGTTGATGGTAAAGTTTTAAGTATCTTAACTAAATTTTTAACTGGTAGGCAACAACGTGTTCGTGTTGATTGTAGTTTTAGCATGTATTTCCACGTGTCTTCTGGGGTTCCTCAGGGTAGTGTTCTTGGACCTTTGCTCTTTATTTTATATACAAGCGATATGTGGTCTGGCATTACTAATAAAATGTTGGCATATGCTGATTATAATTCCCTTTTTGCTGATATTCCTTCTCCGGCAACTAGGCAAATAGTAGCTGACATTCTCCCTGTAGACCTGATTATAATTCAGTCGTGGAGCTCTCGGTGGGGAATGAAATCAAATCCTACAAAGTCTAAGAAAATGATTGTGAGTCGGTCTCGAACGCAATTGACTCATCCAAGTCTGCTGATTATTGGAGTCTTAATCCTTTCAGTGGATAACCTGAAGCTCTTAGGTGTAACCTTTGATTCAAAGCTTACATATGAATTGCATATAAGGAATATGGCCCTGGCAATTTCATCAAAGTTAGGTATCATTCGCAAGTGCAAACTCTATGAAGATAACATTACTCGTAGATGCTTTTTTCTTTTATTCTGCCTTATTTTGAGTATTGTTCTACTGTGTGGTTATCTGCTGCAGAGTCAACACTCAAGACTGCTTGATCGTTCTTTTAATTCCATTAAATTTCTTCTGTCTGACTTAAATTTGGACATTGGACATCGTAAGATTATTGGGGCTCTTCCGTCTTATACAAGATTGTAACCGATAATTCACATCCTCTCAATAAGTTTTTACCTGTTTCTTGTCAACCTGCAAAAATTACCAGAAATTATATGACCCTCAATTCAATGACATTTGATGTAAGTCGATCGTCTACAAGTCAGGTATCTAGTTGCTTTTCACTGCCGTTTGTAGGCTTTGGAATATATTGCCTTCGACTCTTGATAAGTAAGAGATCAGCGCACATATTTTTATTACGTAAATAGCTGACTTTCTATCTTCTCATTCTTTCTTAGCTGTATCTTGACCTACACTGATACCTTTGGTGGTATAAATCTCGATTTTTTCAGTGTGCCTCTTTATATAGCTTACAATAATGATAATAATAGTTCTCTATTTCTTATTTGTTGGCGCGCAAAGTGTCGAAGCTCCTGTTTACCGCACAGCATATATTGGCCCGAGCGTGGATTTATCAATTAAACTTAACCATAATAGGCTATGACAACCCATATTAATGGTGTAGGAACAATTTACAAATAAAGTTTCATCCATCGCTAACGTTACATAATGCAAGACAACAGTCGTGCAACAGCGAACCGCGCATTTTTGGACAAACTGAAGATTTAACCGCGCAAGTTCCGACTTTTGAAAATAACTTGCCCGCGTATGTAAGGTTTCCAGCGTGGTATATATATCCGTACACACACACATACACACATATAGATACATACACACACACTCATATATAGATACACACACACATATATATATATATATATATATATAATATATAATATAATATATATATAAACGATATATGTGTGCAGAGAGATGGACAGACAGGCAGACAAATAGATAGATGGACGGATATACAAACCACAGATACCAAATCGGAATTAGGATAGTTGTGATTTGAATCCGTGTCTCCACTCACGTCGGAGTCCTTCTTCCTGTACTGGAGGCCAACGCCGCGCGCCCTGCGGATGAGGACGTCGAACAGGTACCTGAGGTGCGAGTCTCCGACCAGCACCCAGTGCGCCGTGCCGGTCAAGTCGGGCGCGGGCGACGCCAGCGCCCAGTCCACTCTGCCGGCCGTCAGATCCGCCGCCGCGTCGCTCGACTTTTGCGCGTCATCCGTGCCATTCGACTCAGGAAATGTGCTGGACTTCGCTCTCCTGCAAAACGGAAGATTAAAGCTTGTGATGTTCGTAGTAATGATCATCAGAACAACAGCAACAATGATAATGATACTACTGCTACTATTCTACTACTACTACTACTACTGATTATGATGATGACAACAAGGATGATAGTAATGATAACAGTAATGATAATGATAATAACGGCAGCAATAATAACAATGATACTGATAATAACAATAATGATAATCATAATAAACAATATTATAACAAAATTATGACAATGAAAATAATAATGATAATCAAAATATTAAGAGTAAAGATATTAATAACGATAATAATAAAAACAAATAATAATAATAATGATAATAACAATGACAATGATGATAGTAGTAATAATAGCAATAAGTAAAAGTACTCAGAGAGCGCATACCACCGCCAAGGCAATAGGGTCACTGATGCAATAAAAATATTTTCACGAAGAATTACATTAAAATCACCTCTTTCTCAAGTACACTGCAGACGTCCATGTTTTCCTATCTCGCAATGCTAATGAATCTTTAAAAAATCTTGATCAGGATCAC